TTGCGGAAGAAAGCCCCCCCCCCCCCCCCCCCTACCCGCCGCCCGCCGCCCTCAATTGTTGAATTTGGCTGGTGGCGATGGGTGTTTCAATTTTCGGAAACGATGGTATCCACATACCATACCATCGATTATCGGTATTCTCGTTTGTTGCCGCCGTTTGGTTGGTGGTAGTGTCATCTTCGTCGTTGGCCATGTGGGTTTCGTCGGCTCCGTCATCGTGTTCCGATGCTGACGCTGCGCGCACCGCTGTATCGAAGGCAATTTTTTTTTTTTCGTTGTTTGACTACCACATTTCGAGCGCTGCTGACATTTGTGTTTTTCGTTGTTTTTTGACTACAGTATAACGCATTTCGAGCGCTGCTGACATTCATGTTTTTTATTTTTGTTCGACAAACATTTCGAGCGCTGCTGGAGTTCATTTTTTTGTTTGTTTGTTTGTTCGGTGCTATGTGTATCCACCTTTCTTATTTGCGTGTGTTCTTGGTGGCCGTTCTCTCGAGCAGGCGAGTCGGCGGCAGCAGCAGCAGCCGCCACCGCAGCAGCAGCAGCAGCAGCAGCAGCAGCAGAGGGGGTTGCGGCAGCACGGCAACGATGACGCGGTCGACATGGGATCCATGCCTGGTCTCGTGGACCAGGACTACGCCAGCGTGAGTTGTAGATTGTAATAGCTGTTTGCTGTTGTGTACAAGTGGAATACGTGTATTCCAGCCTTGTTGGGTTTGCAACAGTCAGGTGGTGGTTGTGCCGGGCTGAACGCGTTGGTTACCATCTCTGTAAAGGTGCGATAACGGGCTGGTTGTGCGGGCTGAACGCGTGCCACCTGAAAAAATGTGCAGTCGTGAGAGAGCTGTTCTTCGTCGGATGTTGGTTACTGCTGCCCGCGATGAAAAGGATTTGGTAGCGGCAGCAAACGATCGGCGTGACGTTGGCCGACGGGAGGTGCATGAAAACACGGAACACCAAGCGACAGCACGACAATGAGCGAAACCAAGCTCACACGGTGTTTTTCGCCCATACCCCCCGCGAAAAAATCAAAACGTGTTCCACGCGGCATCAACACCCGCAGTCGCAGGCGCGTGACGTTGAAGGGAGCAACACCACAAACGAACACCAAACAAGCGCACGACGACAAAGTTCGAAATCAACCTCGCAGGGCGGTGTTTCCCCTGCCCGCCCTACCTCCTCCCCAACCGAAACGCCCGCGTCCACGCGGCTGCGACACCCGCGGTCGCAGTCGCGTGACCTTGACGGGAGTTCACCGACGAACGAACTTGAAACAAGCGCACGACGACAACAACAACAAGCGAAACCAAGCTCAAACGGCGGTGTTTCCCCCACACGCCCCACCCCTCCCCCAACCGAAACACTCGTGCCCACGGGGCAGCAGCAGCAGCAGCAACACCCGCAGTCGCAGGCGCGTGACTTTGACGGGGGCTGCACCGCAAACGTACACGAAACAAGTGCCCCACAAGCGAAACCAACGTCGTACGGCGTTTCCGTTACACGCCGTACCCCGCCCCGAACCCAAACACATGCGCTCGCGCGGCGGCAGCAGCAGCAGCAGCAGCAGCAGCAGCAGCAGCCGCAGCAGCCGCAGCCGCAGCCGCGGGGCGTTGACGGGAGGTACCCGACGAACGAACTCGAAACAAATGCTCCACAAGCGAAACCAAACGGCGGCGTTTCCCCTATCCCTCCCGACCGAAAATCCCCGCAGCAACACCCGCAGTCGCAGGCGCCGCTGGACAGCAACGGCCCGCCGCAGAGCATCTACCGCAGCAGCGTGGCTTCCGCGGAGGGGGAGAGGGTCCCCATGCTGCCGGGCGGGGCTCAGTCCTCTCTCGTTTCCACCGCGATCGTCGCCGCTGACGCGATGAGGGTGAGAGGGACGCCGGGAGGGGAGGAAGATGATGACGGCAGCGGCGGGGTCGGCGGGGGCGGCGGCAGTTCCGCGGGAAAAACCATGGATGCTTCCGCGGAAGGGGCGGCCGCGGAGGGGGGTTTCGGGGATGGGTGAGGAAGGAGTTCTTTTTTTGTTGTTGTGTGTGTTTTGGTTTGCCGTGTGGTCATTTTCGTGGGTTGCCCCTTGGTTGTGAAGTATATAGCAACAAAGCCTTGTGTGGTCACCTGCTGCTGATCCATCCTCATGTATTTCCCACGGCGTTGCTTATTCTGCAACCGACCCGATTATTGCTCCGCTGCTGCCGCTGCCGCCCGGCACAAACCCACCCCAACCCTTACCGCAGCGACATGGTCTCGGGGGGAGTCTCGGACCGATCCGGGCGGTCCACCCGTCAGCGGTCCCGAGACCAGGGCGACCACGCGTCGGACATCCACCCGGGCGAGGGCGCGGACGAGTACGCCATCCGGCGATCCGGTAGCGGCAATCGGCCCACCCGGTTCTCTAACGGGATGGCGAACGGCACCGGCGGCGTTGGCGGAGCCGGGGGCGCCGCCGCCACGGCCGCGAACGGGGGCTCCGGCGGCGCGAGAGGGGAGGGGGGGGAGGAAGAGGAGGAAGACATGGACATCCCGGAACTGGCGACGCCGAGGGACGGGGAGGACGGGGACATGTCGTTCTACGACGGGAACTCGCGGCTTGAGGAGGAGGTGGTGGACAACTTCGCGGACATCCCTACTCCGGCGCCGAGGGGAGCGGGGGGCCGCGGCAGCGGGGCCGTGGCCGGCGCCGACGGCAGAACCTTCCGCACCCAGAGGAGCAATAGCTCGGAGGGGTGGGTGGACCAGTACACGAGCAGCTCGCTGGTTGTGTCGAAGGCGGCGCCGTCGGCGAGCTCGCAGCAGCAGCAGCAGCAGGCGGCGGCAGCTGAGGCGGCGAGAGGCGGCGCTAGTTAGTTTAGGGGGTCGTAGTGCCCTTTTTTACTACTCGTGGTGTTTTGGTCGCGTCACTTGCTTTTTGAAGCCTGGCTTCTTTTGTCTTTTTTTTTTTTGTTAAGAAAAGCAACACAGTAAACTAACCACAGCTTTGTTCTAGTTGTGGTTTGTTCTGTTTGCGCTGAACGGTTAATCAGGGCGCGTGCGTGTGTGCATATGGTGTGTGGTGTGGCTGCGAGGGAGAAAGCTTGTATTGGGGGGGAGAGGGGGACATTCCTCTCGCTGCGGGAGAGAGATGGCGCGGGGGGTGCGGGCGGGCGGTGCGCACTGCATTGTTTTGTTGTTCGCTGTCGTCTGTTCGTTTTCGAAGGATTCAAGATTGCTGGATCGGTATCCAAAATTATTTTTTCAGCTGTGCGTTGATTATGGCGGGAAGCGATTTGGTATATTCCGCGGCTGGGATAGAGCGCATAATACAAGCGGGGATATACCCTAGGGGCGAGCCGTGGAGACCGCTCGTTTCGCTTTCCTTTTTCTCGCTGCAGCGGCGGTGGAAAGGTTGGGGGCTTCGTGGATCTGTCGGTAGGGCGCGACCTCCCCCCCCCCCTTTCGTGCTCTATTCTTCCCGGCCGCGGTCGGTACAGACATGTGCCTCTCGCTGCGTAGCAGCAGCAGCAGCAAGAGCTCGTCTCCTGCTAAACCTGCCGGGTTGGTGTTGGTACATACATACGCGGGGATGCTCCAAGATCGGGTTTCTATTGTATTGGATCTCGGCGGTTTGATTTTGTGGCAACCACGGCTGCCGCTGCAGACCCGGGGCGTTGTGTCCCGAGGAATCGAGTTTGTTTGCGTCGCCTGTGGAACAACCCGATCCAACGACCGTGATTGGTCTTGCTCCCCCACCGCCCCCGTCACGAAGATTAGACTTTTCGTCGGGCATGAGGCGCATGGCCTGTCCGCTTTGCCCGTGCTGGGGGTGGTACGGCAACGGACGCGTGGGGGCGAACGGCCATTTGTTTGCATTGTACTTGTTTTGGGCCAGACTACCTCGGGCAGGTTGAGATTGTGTGACGACCGAGAGCTATTTTCGGCACGAGCATCGTGGTTTTGGGAGAGCCCGGAGGGAGGGAAGGAGGGAGGGGGTGGGGGTATGGTCGAAGTGTGTTGGTTGTAAACGCGCGCGCGCGCGCGCGCGTGTGTGGAAGAGCTGAGCGAGAGTGACCTCTGTGAACTGCCCCCCTTGTTCCTGCTTGTTTTTGTGTGCCGTCCATGGTCTTTTGTTTTGTCGCGGTTTGTTTCGTTTCCTTTTGCCCTTCTTGCCGTCGGGTTTGTCGATTGCTACTCTCGTTTGTTTTTCGTTTCTTTTTCAGGGCTGTTTTTTGCTTGCCTCTCTTGTTTGAAGTCGCGCGCGTGTTTGGCGTCGTCGCCGTGAGAGACATGTCGCGGTTGCTTCTACCGAGACTTTAACCAGGGTCCCAAGCACGGGGAAATGGCCCGACATTCGGCAGTCAGTCTGGTGGTTTGCATCAGAGGTGGCGTGGGTTTTCGTCTTGCGAGGCTAAGCGGGCATGCACGGCCTTTGTAGTATGAGCGAGCAGAAACAGTTCCATTTTAACGAGGGAAGGAAATATTTTATGTGAGTTGCCCCCGTGTTGCGACGGGGATATATTTGGTGTTTTGTTGTGGACCTGGATGGCCGGGTGTTGTTATTTCCTTGTTTTGGCATTTGTCGCCGGGGTCTTGTTCGTTATGTACCCCGTCCGCCGCTCCGCTCGCTCTCTCTCGTCTTGTCTGTCGTTTCCGCAATGTTGCGGCGATCTGTAGCTTGGCATTCGAAGCTACTAGACACAGTTGAGAGGCGCGAGAAAGAAGAGGTTTCTTTTTATTTTTTGTTGCCGTGCGTACAACCGGGCTCCGTAGATTGCAAGCGGTAGCAGCTTGTTTCCGTTGCCAAAAGTGTCTGATTCGTCGGGTGCACCGTGATGGTTGTGTTTCTTTCCGTATTTTTTAGGCCTCGGGGAGTACGTGGCGTTGTGGTTGTAGCAGGTAAGCAATGCGCCCCCTCTGTGTTGGAGCTTACCAAAACTCGCCCTCCCAGTAGGTTGCTGGGTTGTTGTAAACATTCGTTACAATCTCGCATATTAAATCACTACATAATTACACTCGTTTTTTCTCTTTCATTTTTTTGTTTTTAGTCGCGGCGGGGGTGGCAGACCCTTCCGAAATATGCACCATGACTGAAATAACTGTGGTTGTTTGCCTGGCGATCCTTGTTTTTTACCTTGCGGCCGATCCGATCGGTGACGAGCGAGGTGTCTCGTGTTCGTTCGTTGTGCACTTACTTTGTGCTGCCCTTTGCGATCGCGTGAAAGCGCATCACCAACAACGTGCGTGCGCGCGTGGTTGGTGTGGTTGGTGTCACCGTCACCAGGAAAGGAGGCGAAGGCGCCACGGCGGTCAATCGGTCGCTCTCTCGATTGATTGCGCTCCTTTCGCGAAACTTTCTTTGGTGATTAACTTCGGTGGTGGTGGGTTTCGTTTCATGGAAGACGGTTGACGTCGATGACGATCGACGATCGATCGTACCCTGTGTGCTTGCCTATCGTTCTTTGGCCGGCTACATGCATGTACATAGACCGTAAATATTTTATGAGAAATCCGTCTCTCCTCCCAGACAACAACTAGAAGACTATCTTGCAGATTGTTTCCAGGCGGATGTTGTACTGTTTGTTCCAGGAGAACTCCGGTCGTTCGTACGTAACCGTGTGTGCTTGCTATCCAAAAAGCACAGCCTTGTTTTTCCCGCCAGGTCGCGCGGTGGGGTTGTGCCGGCTTGACATGATGATCGTTAAGGCCGCGCTTGCTTATAATCACACAGGAGTATACATGTCGCGTGTGTGCGTCAGACACACGCCGCCAAAATTCATTCGCTGGGTGATTTGTCGGATCATAACAACAGCGCCCATTCGTTTTTTCCTGAAGAATCTAAGGAGCGGACGGACTGGTTTCGATGTTCTCTTTCACCCCCATTCATCGATGATTCATCTGCTACGTAGGTGATGCTCTTAATAGTTGGTCGGGTGTGTTGCGGAGAGGTCGTTGGTATTGTTGTTGGTTGGTAGTCGTTGGGAGGTTTAGCAAAATAAAGCAATGTTGACAATTATTCCATGTGTTTGGTTGGGGATGGATGGGTGGGTTCGTTTAATACTGGACTGTGTATTATCTTACCGTTAGTTTCCGATGGAAGTCTTCCTCCTCCTCCTCCCCCTGTCCTCCTGCGTTTTTTTTTGTTGTTGTCCTCGCGGGGTGGGCTTTCATGAGACAGGCAGACACCATGCATTGTTGCTGTTTTCGAGGGAATGAAAAACTCCGAAGAACATGAAAGTTCGCCGAATCTAAATCTTGCCCGCAGAGCTGGACGAACGCACACGCGTGAAATATTTAGTAGAAGTGTCGGGTTGATTATCGACCACGACGACGATGGGCAAATCTTCCTTGGTGTGGCCTTTGGATTGATTGGGTAAGAATCGTCAGAACCTCACTCTATATGTATGTTCAGCAACTCTGCTCTATGTATGTATGTATATTCTAGGGGCAAATCATCCCTCGTTTGGGGTCCTTGGCGCTAACCGATTTGACCAACGAAAAAAGCTCTTCTTCTTGTTGTGTGTCAACGCCATCCTATCTAAACTATTCGTTGTTTTTTGTTGTTGCTCGACGATTGACCGCGCGTCCTCGAGAGGACAGAGCAGCGTTGCTCCCGCAGGAGGACCGATCACCGATGGCCAATCATCGTTCCTTTCTACTTCGTGCCATCCTATCTGTCTCTTCCTATCGATATCATCATTTCCTCTCCCTACTACTACTACTTCCTCCTGCCTTTCTTTTCAGCCCACGTCCCATTGCCCCGAGTAGGCTACCTTCGGTCCTCTCCGATCTTTCTTGGTAGTGGCCCTCTTCTTGTTAACTAGTTTCCTCCCAAGGTTTGTTTCTCGGCAACCTCCTCCTCCTCCTCCAGCAATAATAATAGTAGACTATCTGCATTTATTTTTTAGTTTCCTTTATTATTGTCTCCTCTCGATCGTACGTATTTATTTGGAGTTATAGATAGTATAGTTATTAGTTGTTATAGGATGATGATACTCGCTGCTTCTATATTCTGCCCCGCCTCGAGCTCTTCACTACGAACGTACGCACGCGCGCTCCTCTTCGTTTCTTGTATTTCCTTCCCAAATACCGTAAGGTTGTGAGTCAGCACACAGACAGGGGTGGGTGCGATCGATTTTCAAACCGTAATTTCTCTACAACAACCAGGAGGGTGCGAGCGCCAACTGATGATACTTCTCAGGAAAGCTCTTCTAGATGAGATACTTCCAAAACCAACCGCGCTCTCGACAGTATGTAGTAGCAGTTACCTCCTGGTTGTGGAGAAATTACTCTTTGAAAATCGTTCGCACCCCCGTGCGCTAACTCGCAACCTTACTGTACTTAGTTAGGGGGACTTATATTGACCTTATTATATGCTAGCAGCAGCGGTGGGGCCGCATGAGGTCTGTCATCAAAATTGTCAAATTGATGCGTGTATTATCCATAGATAGGTAAGGTGCGTGCCTGTCCGCGAGTATTGGGTGAAACTCCTCCTCCCTGTTCAATCGCGCTTTACCCTTTTTTCCGCTACTATACTTTGGACATTACATGTGCGTGCATTCCACGCGCACCACCACCAGTAGCATTTTGCGATCTCCCTATATAATATATATATGTAGACTACAACTCGGAGATACATACATACATACATACATACATACATACATACATGCCGTTATTTTCTCTGCATCCTACAATAATACTGATGATCCACTGCTCTGCTGCTGCTGCTGTGTACGCTGTGTACGTACGGGAAGGCTCCTCGATCCCCCACGTGCGTGCATGATGATATGTGCACACTCTTTCTACTGGCTGGGTGGGTTCTCTCTACATACCCTCGTGCGTCGCATACCGCTGCTGCGGCAGCCAGACAGGTGCACTTATGGGCAAATCCTTCGCTGCGTCAATGTGCAGTCCCTCAACGGTGTGTGAGACATCTCAACACCATCATCCGGGAGGGCGGATACACCGCACATACAACACACAGATCTGTGCGGGAGAACTTTTTCTGGGCACCCTTGGTATTATCTCCCGTTAACGCTCCAAGACCCTCCGGTGAATTTTCATTTGGCAGCCAGTTTGCGCGGTCGATGCTAGCCATTAAAAACCACAGCCACGCACGCATACCTACCTCACGTCCCTACCCCAGCTTAGACGGGATATTCAAGAGGTGGTTCTACACCAACACAACAGACGCGGCAGCCAGACGTGCCGAAAACATAATTACACCAAGAAGAAATTTCTCTGACTGTTCCCGGCAGCTTGCTATGTTGAATCTTCGTCACGATTTTTGGTGTGGATGAACAGGAGTCGTCCAGCACAGGGGCAAACGTGGTTTCTAGCTTGGTCATGTTGCTGACTTCCGTGCTCACTACACTTTGATCGTTCTTCTGTGGCCCCGGCGTATTTTTAGGGCGTTCCGCCTGCGGCACACGACGGCTGGCTGGTTGTAGGAGAAGAGTGAGAAGAAGGAAAGGAGGAGCGGTATCCACTTTCGGAGAAACGTTGAAAAATCCAGAATTTGAAAAAAGATCATGACGTCATGCAGGACAGAGCATTCGATCTCGTACCCACACCCTCACGCACAACCCCCCAAACGATCAACCATCATCAGCAACCCAAAGGGATCCCGCGCGCGTTCAACCTCCTTCGCCCACAGGCGCGATTCATTGCACCGCGCGGCTCTGGCCCGTGGGATACATTTATTTCGGGCGGCTCGTGTTGGGCCCTTGGCGGGACGTGCGTTGATTTTTTCCTCAGATCGGAAGCGAAGAATCACCGGGAGGTTGACGGTTCACTCCCCCGCAACCCTGAGGCCCCGTGCTCACACACCTACAATAATACGACCTGCTGTCGCTGGTAGCGCATATTCAAGCCTCTCCGTCTTCTCGCGTCTCCCGCGCGTTGCGTTGAAGAGGCCGGCGGGACACAGTGCGAGCAAGAAATGTCTCGAGGAGGATGCTCGTGGCGGCGGCAATCAGCACCATCACTGTTGGTGTTGTGGTCCCTGATGCTGGGAGCTATTATTTTTGACGTCTCACCGGCTGCTCTGGGGGCCGTCATCTCAGACGTCGCGACCAGCGCCACGCCGCTCTACCTGGGCGGGGACTTCACAGCCACCTGGTCGTACGCGAGCGACGACGGCGAGCCGACCACCACGGGCGACCTGCGGGTGTACGAGATCTCGCTGGAGCCCTGCGCCGCCGCGGGAGACTGCGAGTGCGACAGCGAGGGCAATTCTCTGGCCATATCATTGTGCGACGACGCTGCTACTACTACGCTGGGGTGTGTAGACAGCGACGGCAGCTACGACCTGACGGTGCCCTCGACGGCGGAGCCGGGCGTGTACCTCGTAAGGGTGAGCCTCAAGGACGACCCCAGTGCCGTGTTCGCGTGCACCTACGGCTTCAGCGTGGAGCAGGAGGAGGAGGAGGAGGAGCCCGACCTTTCGGTCACATCATCATCATCATCATCGTCTGATGATTCATGGATTGAGGTCTTCGAGGTTGCCAGCGTTGCTCCGGGAGAAGCGGTCACGGTGAAGTGGCTCTACCGCGACGGCTCGGAGGGGGACGACGAGGACGATGGGGAGGGTGCCGTTGGCTCCGCTGGGAGCTTCGCCGTGGACCTCTACTCGTGCGATGGCGAAGCTTGCGCAAACGGCAGGTGAGAAACAAGAGGGGTGCGCAACGAACAACCAACAAACAACCACATGAAAACGAAAAATCGGGAACTTTTGAAATATCGGTCTGCCTAAATAAATAGGAAATTCCAGTATTGTATTGGGCGGTGTTTTGATAAATGTGGTATCCACACGACTGCTGTGCAAGATGAAACGGCTTTGTAGCCGTGTTCTTTTTTTAGCAGATGCGGGAGTGCAGTACACCCTTGTCGCAAGGGGTTAGTTAGGCGCGCACCCACACGCAACCCCCATATCGATCAAGAGTCATCAGTGGTGACTGCCCTCAGCAGGCACGACGTAATAAGCGGTACATACACATACATGTCCATTTGGCAGGCAACCCCTTTGCACAACCATCGCAACATGCATACATGTCTCTCGGCCTTTTATCTGATGTAGGCCACCCTTCCGTTTTCTGAAAACATTTACCCTCCATCGCGTGGTATGCATACGCACACAAGCACGCGGTTACATACAACAAGAGAAGATAGAGGTTGCGTGAACAAGTCTACCTGCACAGCTAGTCTTATTAGTCTATGCATTGGTGCGTTGTTTGACATTCCGCCATCGTCGGTTAGCAGGCTCAGCCTATACTCCGTCACCTCGCCGCTGAATCGTCATTGTAGACTTGAAAAATTCATCAGATTCACAGCAGTACATATATATACATATGCCCTGGACGACGGAAAGAAAGGTGTCCGTCTGTGGACCTACCCGCCTGTAAATATGCTGTGCACGTCGCCTGTAGACTAAATAAATTCTTTCCAACGACAACCCACCAAGAGTGTGTAGATATTCTCACAACCAAGAAGAAGGCGGCGTTCTCTTGTGTGTTTTGAGTTGATTCCGCCCATGGGGCACACGCCAGGACATCTATCTCACTGCTGTAATATAGTTGACCCACGTACTGCTGTGTCAGCAGGGCGACGGGCGCGGTGGGTCGTGCTTCTATGGCCGCGAGCGACTGCTCTCCCGTGAACTGCTGTGAAATGTTAATGTTCACCCAGAAGGCCAAGCACTAATAGATAGACCACCACAAGACACTAAATTAAATACTTGGTCGCAGTACAAGTATGTCACCTTGCCCGTATGGGGGTACTGCTGTCCGAGGGAGTAAACTGCGAGAGGTTGTTGGCAGTTTCATGCTGTATACCCCCCGGCGGCCAAACATAGATGCATACGGTGCGCTGGTTAGGAGTTGTACGCATAGTATTTCTCAAAGGGAGGTAGTCTGCTACCACCCACCGCCACTTTCGTCTGCTCTCCTTCTCGCTCGCTCTCTCTTTCATGAACGACACAAAATTTTAATACCGAGGAAACGGCAGCATTCATTTGATTGAGTGCTGAAGATACATCGGCCGCCATCGCAATCAACAGAGGGAGAATAGTGATGCACTTCCCACATGCATGCATAGATCTGTAGATTCTGTGATGGGCCTTAGATCTCGGGGGTCTGGCAGGGTTCGTTTGGCAGGTGGTATCCACGGCCAGCCGTGCGTATTCTCGTAATTGTTTATTTGCCGAAGCGCATAATGTCCCGGTCGCCCCGGTGGTCTAGTTGGTATCCTTGAAACCTTCTTGTAGAGGTCAGGTCAGGGGTTCGAATCCCGGCGTAAGCGAGAGCTTTTCTTGCAAATTGAGTTTTTCTCTCGCTTCCGCTCCTGGCCTAGTGGATAGCGCTAGTTCGTGTGTACACAGAGGGAAGAGAGTGCTGAACTCTTCTCGCATCAAAAATCGTAGGCAAAGTACCGCAGGAGGGGAGGGTAGAGAGGAGCTCTTCTGTATGACCACGGGTTGGAGTAAACCGCACTATAATACTAGTGTTGTGAGCGCTGATTTGAAGTGAAGACAAAAAATAATAATAATAATAATAATTTCCCTGTCACCAGCACCGTGTGTTGGATGGAGGTGTCCAGCGTTTGCTTGCTTCGAAGTGTAGTAGAAGTATTAGTATTATTGTACCTGCCACGGGGTGGGTGACATGTGATAGGATATCACACCTCGTGGACTGATATTTTAGAAGCTTGAGTGTTCCTCCTGTGATGAACAGAAAAAGTTGCGGTTCCCAAAAATTGGTGGCGTTTTTGAACTGTCTGTCTCGTCGATAACGTGTCTATGTACCGTACGTATTGAATTTGGCATCCTCTTTGCCGCGGGGAGCTTTTCTTCGACGTAAAACACAAAGAAGATGAATCCGTTGAAAACTGGTTCTCGGGGGATAGATGTGACACCTCACGTCGCCTCGGTGCTCAAGATGTCACACCCCAGTGATAAACATTTTGCATTTCAGAAGTAAATGAATTACGGGGGTGTTTTTGGTCGTGGTCGTACGTGTTGATATATCTCATCTCTGCCCTAGTAATCATAAGGAAGGAAGGTTAGTTTTGGTCTCATGTTGAACGGCAGTAAAAATATACCACCGGGTGTGTGTGTCGTACGCATCCTATATATGTGGGTGTTATATATCTTGTGTAGTACTCTTATGGTAGTGGCCGCCTTGAGTGTCGTTTTTTAATCATGTGTGGCACCCTCGGTGGCGCATTCATCAACATCCAACCCTTTGGGCGGTAACCAACACCGCGGGACACTCCTGGGCACGGGCAGGTCGAAAAGAAAGAAGAGAAGGGAGAGGGAGAGATATTTTTTTATCATCCGTGTGGAGCGTAACTACAAAGGTGTCAGTCGATGGATACCTTGGGAATCGGGTCCGTCCTCCTTCACACTATTATCATAGGGCGTGGCCGATTTGATTGGGGTGTACACATCAGGAACCACGTTTTGCTGTTGAAACGTTTAGACCAGGTCGATATCCCTAGACACAGGCAGCGTTGTTGTTTCGTGCCACACCCGCCCAATCCGTGCTCACGTCCGTCCGTGTTATTTGTCGTACAGTGCACACGGAAGACGCCCATCCGTGCATCAACCCGTCGTTCGGCCGAAAAAAACGCCGAAGCATTTTTTCACCAACAAATTTGGCTCCTTGCTCTCACAGTTGACGAGCGCCTTGCGTACGTACGTCTTCGTCTCTCAACCATCCCAACCAGTAAACCAAACCATCCAAACGCACGCCTTACCCGCTGTATCCCTCGTCGAATCGCGACTACCGCTGTGTGCCAAAAGCTGCGGAACGTACGTCGCCTCGCTTTGCGGCGACGACGGGTGTTACGACCCCGGCACGGGCGACTACGACGTGGTTGTACCCGCAGACGTAACGCCGGGATCGTTCAGCCTTTACGTGCAGGAGCTGAGCGAGAACGGGCCCTGGGACTGCGCGCCCTTCACTGTGGCGGCCGACCCGTCAGGTTTGTGTGGGTCACCGCCTTGCCTGTTTGTTGCTGCGTTTTGTTGAATGAAATTTGTATCGTTGTTTTGTGTGTGTGTGCGTGTGTGTGTGTGTGTGTGTTCGTGTGTTTTTCTTTCTTTGTCGCACGCCGCTTGTTGTGAGGTTGTGGCTTTGACTTTTGTGTAAACCGCCGTGCCTATAGATTGTGGCTTGTTACCTGTACTTTCAAAAAGTGACACCCCACACAAGGCCTAACAAAAAGCACTATGGTATGCAATCCCCCCCCCACACACACTTGCAGCCTCCACCCCCGCCCCGACCCCGGGCTCCCGCGAAGTGCCCTCCACCACCACCGCGCCGGCGGCGCCGGCGATAACGCCTTCTCCGGTAGGAACTCCAGCCCTTGTAGGAACTCTGGCCCCGGCGGCCGTAGTAACAGCGACCGCCGCCCCCACACCGGCCACCGGAGAGCCGGGGTCCCCTGGGATCCCGCCGACTCCGGTGCCCGCCAAGACGGTGTGCGACCCCGAGGCGGAGCTGTCGTTCACGTACGACGCGAGGGAGGACGAGGAGATCGAGGGGGCGCTCGTGACGATCGAGCACGCCAGCGGGGACCGGACGGAGCTAGGCTGCGTGACGCTGACGGAGATGTGGCAGTGGCTGCAGTCGGGCCCGGAGGGGGTGCCCACGGTGAGGGTTGGAGGGTGGATGGGTGTACTCATAGCCGTGCGTGCCGTCGTCTTTAGACCATTGATTGGCCTCGCACCCCTGTCAAGCCGGGACGGAGCACGCCCGGGGGCGGGGGGGGCTCGAGTTTTTTTTTGGGGGGTGGAGGAAGGAGCTGCCGAAGTGGGGTTGGCTGGTGCATTGGAAAAGGGGATGCACGGAAGGGATGTGGGGAGGGGAGGGGGGGGGTTCGGTGGGAGGAAGTAACGTGTGTGAAATGTGAGAGCGCCGCTGTATCTATGGTCGTTTCAAGAAACCTTCCGACTGCTACGGTGTCCTGAGACTTTTGCTCACTGTGCCCGCGCAGCGATAGGTCACTCCCGCTATGCCACCACAGGCGCGCGCGGCGTGTGTGCGCCCCACCCTGGGGTTACGTTGCACCCAAAACACACGCCCCCGTTCTCTCTGCTGCGAGTCCTCTCCCGGGCGACACTAAACCCTGACCCTAACGACAACGACGATGGCAGGACCTTCTTTACCCCGTCGACCCGGCCACCGGTGCGGCCATCACGACGGCGTCGACGGTGGAGGAGCTCACGGGCGTGTGGCTCGTGAGAACCTCGCTGGCCGTCTCTAACGGCGTGACGATGAACCTCAAGGGCACCTCGGTGGGGGGCGACTGTGACGAGGTTGGTTCAAGGTTCATGCCCGTGAATCTGGTTTTTTGTTTTGGTGTGTAGCACACTCTGGTTGGAGAACATGCCGGTATGTAGTTGTAGGGACCACCGGAATGTTCACGTTGGTGTCCGATTTTTTTTTTTCACTTCAAGTCAGCGCTCATATCGTTTGTGCCGTTTACTCCAACCCGCGGTCACACAGAAGGATTCCTCTCCCTGAGCCCCCTACCCACCCCTCCTGCGGTACTTTGCCTTCGACTTATATTGCGAGAAAGAGTGCAGTATTCTCTTCCCTCTGTGTACACACGAACTATGCAGCGCTTTCCACCCATGCCAGGAAAGGAACGGAAGCGAGAGAAAAACTCACTTTCCAAGAAAATATCGCTTACGCCGGGGTTCGAACCCCGGACCCTGGCCACTGGTGTCCTGGTGTCCGGATGGCCCTTGTATTTTCAGACAACAGCCCCAAGGGTGATGCGAGAGGGGGGGGGGGGGGGGGGGGGCCCCTCCCTTGTTTTTCCTGACCTTGGGGGTTTCCCCCTTTACCCCTGATGGGGGAGGGGGGCGGGTTTTTCAATGGAACCACCAAAAAAATGGTTTCCCAAAACTTCCTTCAGGAAAAAAATTTTTGGGCCCTATTTTTTTTTGACCTTGGGAAGATTTTCGGAAATTCCCCCTCTTTTTGAACCCCCCCTTCCCCCCCCGGAATGCTCTAACCCCCCGTTTTAATCCGAAACAAACCCCATCCAAAAACCGTTTTTAAATGCAAAACCCCGGTTTAAAA